AGGGAACACTGCAGGCTGCATGTGATTTGATTTTGGAAATAAGACCTCACACTTTCTGGATACAAGTGGTGTGAAGCAAACTTACACCCATCACACACACCATACACACACATACACACTCACTTATGCTTATAAAATTGTTCAGTTTCATTTCTTAACTGCTAATTAAAGAGATTAAAACTGGCCTGGAAGCCTTTTCCTGCCAATGACAGGGTATGTCACAGATCTAGCTGGAACTATGCAGCCTCAGTTGAAGTGTTTTGAATGTTGAAGTGGTGTGCTCAAAAATGAACAGATCTTATGCCCTTTATAAAGCCTGGACTTCAGGCTCATTTTTTATTTATGGCTGTATGAGGCAGCTAGGTGTGGTCAAAGGGCTTCCTGAAGATATAAATTTCCATAGTGCAAAGGGACTCCCTGGGTCCCTGTGGGGGTCACACTAATGGGGTTTAAGCCTCTCTTCCTCCGTTAAAGCAGTTCTGCTTTAAAAAAACACAAAATGACACAAAACCAACCAATGTTATTGGGGAATTATTTACACACCAAACCCGCACTCATTTGAAGCGTGAAGTTCAGTGAGCTCTGGCCAGTATAGACATCATCCCACAACTGACACATGGAACCACCTCCACAGCCTATGAGACAGGCCGGGGCTCCCTCAGCCATGTGGCAGTCAGCGCTGGCCCCGCTCTAGGCACCACTGACCTGCTGCCTGTCACCTTCGACTGGTTTTGCTGTTTCTCAACTTCCATGTACTTGGCATCCTACAGTATATATTCTTTTGTGTTTGGTTTCTTTCACTTAGCCTAATTATTTTGAGGTTCATCGATGATCTGTGTGTATCTGTTACTTCATTTCTTTGTATTGCTGAGTTCCATTCCACTGTCTGGGTGCAGCACCATATGCTTATTTATTCACCCATCCATGGTTGTTTGGGGTATTGCCAGTTTTTGTCAAATAGGAATAAAGCAAGGTGGCTCTGCACTCATGTTTCCCATACTTAAGTTTGTGTATCATTTCAGAGAAAAGGGCATTTGGCTTCTAAAAAAAAGAAAAAAAGGAAGGAAGGAACCCACTGGAGAAATAGAAAAAACTTAGTCTTTGGAGTTACAACTGGGCTTGGAGGCTGTCTCTGCTTCCAGTTACATCAGCCTGAGCAACAACTGCATTTTTTAATATGTTGATTCTCTTGTTTGTAAGATGAGCACACTATACCACACAGGGTGATCGAGACGACCAAATTCAATGAGATCTCACGTGTAAAGTGCACAGCTGTTGTCCCAGAGTGTTATCTCTCTCCCGTCTTCCTGCCCAGGAGAGCAAAGGGCCAGCTGGAAAGCTCTCTGGCCTGTTTAGCTCAGCAGATCAGATGTACTTGAGTTCTTTCTAGTCAGTGTCCCTCTGAGGCTGTCTGTGAGTTTAGATGATTTAGCCCAAGTGCGTATTGTCTGGTTCAAGCCATATTCCATGGACTTACGGTAATTTCTAATCATGCTCTAAGTAACTCTTTTTGAATTGGTGAACTACTTAAAGCCCTGAAGTATTCCGGGTTATCGTTAGCTTTGCAGGGATGTTGGAGAAAATGAAGAGAATTTGAATCTGCTGCTGGATTAGTAATGGAAAGTTCCTATTCGCTGACTGTTGGAAATTTCTGGAGCTCTTGCCACTAGACCATCACCCTACGTTTCGTTGAATTTGATGGGACGTGGGAAAGACTTTGCAGATCACAGAAAAAATTCCCTCCGCCTTCTCTCCCGCTTCACTCACTTGTTCCCAGGCCCAGGAACAGGCAGCGGACCTCTGCAGTCTCCAGCTGCTTAGCCTTCTACTTCGGCCCTGCCACTCTAAGATTATTTTTCCATTCGTCTAGCAAACGCTTTTGAAGCGTATTTGTTGAATTCTGAGAACACGAACTCTCCATCCCTTCATTAAAGAGCTCACAGGTGAGTGTCGGAGACATGAAGGGGTGGTTCTGACACACGAAACGACAGAGGCACGTGGTGTGTGTGGAGGGCGAGCAGAGCAGCCACACCCAGCCCCACGAGGCCAGGCCGAGACCACTCCAGGAAGAGCAGGCCCCCGAAGCACATCTAGGGGGCAAGTGAGCAGTTAGCCAGACAGGACGCAGCAAGCTGGATGAGAGCAGTTCGGGTATAAGGAGAAGCAGGATAAAGGCATGTGGCCCGGAAACGATGTGGCGAGAGGCAGACACCAGCATCCGGCCTTCTAGGGTGGGAGTTGACTCAAGGAGAGAAAAAACCAGACTGAAGGGCCTCGCTGCTGTCCTGAAGAACCTGACTGTATTCCTGGGGACCATGGGGAGCCACTGAAAGCTAAAGCCGAGGAGGCAGGAGCAGCTAGTGGGGTGCAGCAGTGTGGGAAGGCGTGGAACAGCTCGTCATGGGTGGGGGAGGGGAGAGTCAAGAAATACGAGGATGTCAGGAAGCATTAAGAACGACCTCAGGTGTCTATCAGAGCCTCTGAGGAGACAGCAAACCAGGGGAAGGGGTAGGTGTGGGGCTGAGGAGCTGCCGAGCCCCGGGACAGCCTGGGTGCTGGGGGTCTCTGGCGTGGCTCTCCACATGGGCTGGGGGCAGATGCAGGCTGAAGGTCTGGGTTGGGAAGGGCGCACTGGGAGGCGATGGCTGGTGGAGGCACCCAGAGTTGGGTGAAGCCCCCTGGGGGATGTGGGCATGAGGAGTGAGCACCGTGGGCAGCACTTGGCAGAGAACAGCAAATCTAAGAGAAATTCCCTCTCTCCAGAAACCACCTTCTCAGCCAGTCCAGCCGGACCACTGAAAGTTATTTCAAGGCTTCCCACCCGCGGCCAGACCAGCCCACGTTGGTGCGCCTCGTGCCCCCAAAGGAGGTGAAATATGAATAGTGAGTGGAATTGCCCAAACAGCTTACACGCTTGTTTCCCAACTGCCCAGTTTACAGGCTTGCATTTCCCACCACCAGACTCTCCCCAAGGCCCCAGACTGCTAGCTGGCACCTCGGCCCAGGATCCACGATCCTTCTAATGAACTGCGAACCTAACATTTGTGGAAGACATTGTGCAACTCTGAAGGTTTGTGGTCNTTAAAACATTTTTTTATTGAAATATAGTTGACATACAATATTATATTAGTTTCAGGTAACAACATAGTAATTCAATAATTATATACTCCATGAGGTGCTTACCATGATAAGTGCAGTTATCTGTCACCATACAAAGATGTTACAATATTATTGGTCATATTTCCTGTGCTCTACTTTTCACCTCTGTGACTATTTCATAACTGGAAGTTTGTCCTCCTTTATCCTTCAACTATTTTGCCTATCCCCCATCCCCTCCCCTATGGTAACCAGCGGCCTGTTTTCTGTGCTCCTGAATCTATTTGATTTGTTTGTTAATTTTGTTTTTTAGACTATATGGTATTTGTCTTTCTGTGTTTGACTTATTTCACTTAGCATAATGCTCTCCAAGTTCATCTCTGTGGTCACAAAGGGCAAGATTTCATGAGAGCCAGCTCAGTTTCTAAGTTGTAAGCTAGGGCGAGCCCAGAGGGGGAGCACAGGCTGAGGGGAGGGAAAGAAGGTCTGGGCTTGATCTTAGAGTGGCAGGGCCGAAGTAGAAGGCTAAGCAGCTGGAGACTGCAGAGGTCCGCTGCCTGTTCCTGGGCCCGGAAACAAGTAAGTGAAGTGGAAGAGAAGACGGAGGGGATTTTTTCTGTGATCTGCAAAGCCTTTCCCACGTCCCATCAAATTCAACGAAACGTAGGGTGATGGTCTAGTGGCAAGAGCTGTGGATTCTGGACCCTGGCTCAGCTCTGAGACCTCAGATTTTCCATCCGGAAAGTGAAGTGTTTACTAGGAAGACCAATGAGTTAAAATATAGAGAAGTACTAGTGCTTAATTCCAACCAGCTGAGTCAGAGCCATAACACCCTTCACAAATGCATGCATGGAGTCCCTTCTTGCAAAATCAGATCATATTTTCAGTGATACCATCTGGCTTGCAAAACACAGGGAAACCACAATGGCCCAAATCATGTCACAGGCGGTGTTATAAAATAGCGTCACCATGCTGTGATGTCACCAGGTAAGCAGCCAGAGGGTTAGAATCCAAAAAAGGGACATTTTTGGTTTAGAACCAAAGTAAGTTCATTCTGAAACCAGAAATTTAGGCTTTTTGACCTTTCCCACCTTTTAACCTTCTGTTTTCTATTCCAAATGTTCTTTTCCCCACTCCACAAATCGTGTCCTTTCAACAGTTTCCTTGCCATGATATGGCAAGAAGAGGGAGAGGTGCAGTCGTGAGCTGATGTTTGCACAGGGCTTGGGATGTCTGGGCTGGAACATGCTACACAAACACAGGGTATCACTTCTAAGCTGCTGCCTGGAGAGGGGAGAGACAGAGAGGCGAGGTCTCCTGATGTTCTGGGCCAGCAGCAGGGGGTAGGTCAGAGGAAGAGGAAACAACCAGGAGGCAGAGCAATGGGGGCTGAGGCTCTGAACCATCCCGAGAGGAGGGTACCCATGTGTCCCAGACTGTACTGGAGGGCAGTAAAGGCCCCTTAGTAATTCAGATATAAAGATAAAGACATTTTTGCAAATAAGTCGTAGCCTGGAAGGCTTGCAGGAGGTAAGCAGGGATCCTGGCGGCACTGTCCTGTGAGTGCAGATTCCTGCAGAGAATCTTGGAGCCCCACATGACAGGCACCTTAGGGAGAGCCAGACCTTCCGTCTCATGCCCATGCAGGTTTTTTGGTTTTTGGTGTAATTAATCTACTATTACATGAGGAACATTATGTTTACTAGACTCCCCCCATCACCAAGTCCCCCCACAAACCCCATTAGAGTCACTGTCCATCAGCATAGTAAGATGCTGTAGAATCACTACTTGTCTTCTCTGTGTTGCACAGCCCTCCCGTGCCCTCCCCCACATTATATATGCTATTCGTAATGCCCCCTTTCTTTCCCCCCACCCTTGTCCCTCCCTTCCCACCCATCCCATGCAGGTTTTGACGTGGAATGTTGCAAGCCACGACAAGAACTGCTGTGCAGTGAAGGGGGTGACCTCCCAGACCTGACCCCGGGGCAAAGGAAGGCAGCCCAGCACCCTATATTCTCCGGACAGTCCTCCTGGGCAAAGACCTGCCTCATCAGCCAAGCCCCACAGCCCAGGTTATGTCCCCCACAGCTCCAGACCCCTTTGTGACAGGCATAGGAAGTTCTGAGATCTTTTTTTTAAAGAGGTTTGTCTAAATTAAAAGCTCCTGATGGAGGCTTCTCTTTCCCTAGCCCTTAAGGTAGTGACTTTTCAAGAAGATTCTAAGTGGACCTCCTCCAGTTCCACCAGCACTTCCTGAGTGCTGCATGCAAACGCCCTGCCAGGCCTGGTGAGCAAGACCCAGAGTGAGGGCTCTGGGTGAGGATGGTGACCTGGTGAAGGAGGCAGATGCATATGGAAGCGGCAAGCACCAGGCAGACAGGCACGTGGAGGATGAAGAGGGAGCGCGACACAGGCTGGCGTGGCCTTGGCCCTACCAGGACAGGCGGCAGGCGGCCAGGGGCCACGGGGGTCCAGGGCCGCGCCCCCCCAGAGCAGGATGCCCGGAGGGCCCATGCGGAGGCGGACTGAGCCTGTGCGGTTGGAGGGGTCCTGGGTGGGGTGGGGGGCCAGGGGGGAGAGCAGCAGCTCTGGATACCAGGCCGAGGTGTTTGGAGTTAGTTCTCTGTGAAAGAGGGAGCAGGGAGTGTGTTTTAAGGCAAGATGACACTATCAGAAAAAAGTCAGTATGGAGCCAGCAGGAGGCTATGCTGGGAGCCTGCGAGAGCCCTGCGGCCTGAGCCAGGGGCTGGACTCCCAATCATCCTCGTTCTCAGGCGAGTCCCAGGGTGCTGCGGAGCCGAAGGGCAGATTCCACAGCTCTCTGCATGCCGAGGACGATGCTGGAGCCAAGCACCATCCGAGGGATGCATGTGTGTGACAACCACGACGTCTCTCATGGTTCCACCCTTCTCTGGATACAACCTGGGTCTGCAGTCACCACCCTTTCTACTAGATGCTGGAGTGAAGAGGCCAAGAGAGACCAGAGACAAAGGCAGACCAACATGGGGTGGGGTAAGTCACCACTCTGCCAGCCACCTGACTGTGCGTGGGTGAGTGCTCTAGGTTAACAAGTGTGTATTGCCTACTATGCTGGTCATGCTGTTATGCCCCCCACCCCCATCTCTGATCTGCCCTGCTCTATGTTCAGGGGCATCCTTGCCCTTTGCTTTAGAGCTGGGCTTGATCTGCTTCTAAAGAATTGGAGCTCAGACCCCAGCCCTCCATGGTTCCCAGAACTCTGCCCACATTCCTTCTCCCCTGGGAGTGACCCCTTCTTTTCAGTGTGCCTGCCAACTGCTTCCTGCCAGGATCATGACAGAGGCACTATCAATGCTCTGTAGGTTCCATGAATCCTACAACAGCCCTGGGTGGGATTACTTCCATTTCGTAGATGAGGAAAATGAGGCTCAGAGAGGGTAAACATTAGCTGTGGCAGAAACAGCGAAGCTCATCAATTACAATGCCCCATGTTTCCACCCCAGCACCCTGGCAATGAGGAAACCTGTGGGTGTATGTATAAAGGAATGACAATTAAATTCTCAACTAACTTCTCCTTGATAGCCTAGACAGCCTTTTGTCTAAGAACAAGGACAAAAAAGATACTTTTAGTTAAATAATAAAAAAGCTTACCCTAATTTGAGTTTAGGCATCCCAAGGTCCTTGTAGTTTTCTGGAGAAGCATAATGTGGCAGACTGCTAACTGTCCCCCACTGCATGTGTCCTCCTGTCCTGTCTAGTATCAGAACCCCTCACCTCCCACTTTAACGGGCACATGGCCACCAAGCTGGAGCCTATTTTCCACTGTGCAGCTGCAGAAGGTTCAGGACAGAATCATCAAGTAGAAATAGGTCACATGCAAGGACCTCGCATCAGTAGACTGTTTGCTCTTTTATAAGTGAGACACTAGAGCATCTTCGTGTGTGTGAGCCGACAGAGGAAGGGCATGGGATGTGGCAGAACAGAGAAAGGAAAGCGCGAGCGTGAGGGTTTGGGGAAGGCGTGGCGCCACGCACATGTGGTGGGATGGGTGGGGGGCTGGCCTTTTATAGCCTGGGACCCATCCAACTACATAATCAGGGACCGGTTTTCCAGCACATCCATGTTGTCTCATTAAATTGTAATAACTCAGTTAAGCACCTTGAATTTTAGTTTCTTATCCTAAAGGGAGCAGTTCTGTACTCTTTCAGAGTAGACACTGTGAATGTGTCGATGAGGCAGAATCCCCAGTGGCAAGCAGGTGATGTTTGTTGGTGAGGTAAATCAGGAATTCTGTGCAAGAGGCAAATGTTGAAGGGCAGGGTTTGATGGTCACCCCCAAAGTGCGTGTCATGGCATCTAAGCAAATGCATATGGGTTTATGGCTGGTTACTGCGTCTTGCATTTCTGTGAGATAAAGATGAGAACAGGTTCTCTGGAGGTCAAAGGACTTGGGGAGGAAGGTTGTTGAGGAGGTAAAAACACAGGGAGATGACTGAGGATGTCCCATGTGTGGGACTCCAGGAACAACATGATAAAAGGTGAAGGTGTGAACAAAGCCAAGGGCACTTTCTTCTTCAGTGAAAAGAGTGAGAGGGGGAAGAGGGTGACAGGGAATTTTTCCAGGTCTGTGATGTAGTAGGAGTTTCCAGAACTCCAGTACTAGTGAGAGTAAGTAGTTATGGCCTGGTGGCAAGCAAGTTCATGGGAAAGAGCCAGAGGGAGAATTAACTTGAATTTGACATGAAGCACATACTCTGTGGGCATTCATCAGAGTAAATTATATGCAGCGGGGACATTTAAAAGTTCTTCCCTTTGGCGCTTAATGAATATGTACTGTAAGATCACATTGGTTTTCCCTGTTGATTTTTAGTAAACAGTCAACTCCTGGGCCTGTAATCTAGTATTTCCACGTCTCTACTTATGATTAAGTTTAGAGTGAATGCACATTACCATAATATCTAGAAACTGCAGTATCTTTCCCACCAATGCTCAGTTCTTACTCCTCTGCACATGCAGAACCCCAGCCAGGCTGGCGGCTGTGCTGTGGGAGAGCCTGGGGCGGGAGGCAGCCTTCCTGGCAGGACATACTAGGACAGGCATCCCTCGTCCTCGCTCTGGAGCCAAGGATGCAGAAGGTGGGCTGCTCACAGGTAGCATGGAATGTGTAACCCAAGTTTCAACCCTCCAGGGGAGTCTGGGGACCCAGGACTAGGAAGAGAAGCCTGCAAATGGGAGATAATCGGGGTAGAAGGGGGTGACCGGGTGCAGCCTGGCCTTTGACCTCCCCTTTTTCCTCCTGGGCTCACCCTGGCACTTTCTTCCAGCCCTTCTTCTGACAGTGATCAGAACACACTAAGCTGAGAGGCTCTATTCACAAGGTGAAAAGGACCATCAGATGGGTCTAAGAAGTCTTTTTAATTGTGGGGGTGAAGACGTACCATATATGAAGCTCACCCTCACAGCAAACTTGGGGGGCCAGGAGAGCAGGCGTGGCTCCCCACATTTTAGACCAAGGGACTGGAGAGTGGAGTGGTTACTGGAGGTCAGTGGCAGAGCAGTGATCAAGTTCCAAGCCTTAGTCAAGGGCTCATCCCATCAAGACTTAGAATGATGAGCATGTTAAGTAGCACATGTGATCTAATGATCTGAAGGGAGGCATCTGGCATTAATTGGTACCCCCTTGATCATGCTTTGATGAGCCAGTATTTGCGTGACTCCCTAATACAAGAAATTTTAGAGAAGAGCCATGTTATTGCCCATATCTTGACTAATTTAGTGTTAAAGCTCTCACCAGGTGGTTTCTGAAAGCATTTCCCATTCTGTGTCCATGTTGTCTCATTAAATTGTAATAACTCAGTTAAGCACCTTGAATTTTAGTTTCTTATCCTAAAGGGAGCAGTTCTGTATTCTTTCAGAGTAGACACCGTGGATGTGTCGATGAGGCGGGATCCCCAGTGGCAAGCAGGTGATGTTTGTTGGTGAGGTAAATCAGGAATTCTGTGCAAGAGGCAAATGTTGAAGGGCAGGGTTTGATGGTCACCCCCAAAGTGCGTGTCATGGCATCTAAGCAAATGCATATGGGTTTATGGCTGGTTACTGCATCTTGCATTTCTGTGAGGTAAAGATGAGAACAGGTTCTCTGGAGGTCAAAGGACTTGCAGAGGAAGGTTGTTGAGGAGGTAAAAACACAGGGAGATGACTGAGGATGTCCCATGTGTGGGACTCCAGGAACAACACGATAAAAGGTGAAGGTGTGAACAGAGCCAAGGGCACTTTCATCTTCAGCGAACAGAGTGAGAGGGGGAAGAGGGTGATGGGGAATTTTTCCAAGTCTGTGATTTAGTAGGAGTTTCTGGAACTCCAGTACTAGTGAGAGTAAGTAGTTATGGCCTGGTGGCAAGCAAGTTCATGGGAAAGAGCCAGAGGGAGAATTAACTTGAATTTGACATGAAGCACATACTCTGTGGGCATTCATCAGAGTAAATTATATGCAGCGGGGACATTTAAAAGCTCTTCCCTTTGGCGCTTAATGAATATGTACTGTAAGATCACATTGGTTTTCCCTGTTGATTTTTAGTAAACAGTCAACTCCTGGGCCTGTAATCTAGTATTTCCACGTCTCTACTTATGATTAAGTTTAGAGTGAATGCACATTACCATAATATCTAGAAACTGCAGTATCTTTCCCACCAATGCTCAGTTCTTACTCCTCTGCACATGCAGAACCCCAGCCAGGCTGGCAGCTGTGCTGTGGGAGAGCCTGGGGCGGGAGGCAGCCTTCCCGGCAGGACATAATAGGACGGGCATCCCTCGTCCTCGCTCTGGAGCCAAGGATGCAGAAGGTGGGCTGCTCACAGGTAGCATGGAAAGTGTAACCCAAGTCTCAACCCTCCAGGGGAGTCTGGGGACCCAGGACTAGGAAGAAAAGCCTGCAAATGGGAGATAATCAGGCTAGAAGGGGGTGACCAGGTGCAGCCTGGCCTTTGACCTCCCCTTTTTCCTCCTGGGCTCACCCTGGCACTTTCTTCCAGCCCTTCTTCTGACAGTGATCAGAACACACTAAGCTGAGAGGCTCTATTCACAAGGTGAAAAGGACCATCAGATGGGTCTAAGAAGTCTTTTTAATTGTGGGGGTGAAGACGTACCATATATGAAGCTCACCCTCACAGCAAACTTGGGGGGCCAGGAGAGCAGGCGTGGCTCCCCACATTTTAGACCAAGGGACTGGAGAGTGGAGTGGTTACTGGAGGTCAGTGGCAGAGCAGTGATCAAGTTCCAAGCCTTAGTCAACTGCTCATCCCATCAAGACTTAGAATGATGAGCATGTTAAGTAGCACATGCGATTTAATGATCTGAAGGCAGGCATCTGGCATTAATTGGTACCCCCTTGATCATGCTTTGATGAGCCAGTATTTGCGTGACTCCCTAATACAAGAAATTTTAGAGAAGAGCCATGTTATTGCCCATATCTTGACTAATTTAGTGTTAAAGCTCTCACCAGGTGGTTTCTGAAAGCATTCCCCATTCTGTGTCCACAGACCTGGAAATTTGATATATTCTGAAAATTTTATATATCCTGCTGATGCAAGAGTATCTGGCAGCAAATAGCTGTTACCAGTGTTATCACAAATGCAGGTGCATCGATGCCAGAACCGTGAGAACCCCGGGGCCACAGCCCCGAGTCTTAACCTAAGCAGACATGAGTAATAAGTCAAGCATCAGCTTGGGAAGATAAGGCTGGGGTGGAGAGACAAAAATCAGGGGTCCTACCCAGGGGTTCTAGCACCACGTCTTGCCCACACACCTTCATGGCCCCTGGTTCAGGTATATACGTTTGGAAAGGAGGCACAAAGAGCGGAGCACCAGCCGTTTCCCATGGACCGTAGAGGGTCTCAGCCAGCTGTGAAGGGAAGGGCTCAAACATCTCTTCTCTTGCAGTACCATCTCCTACCCAGTCGGAAACTCCTACTATCAGCGTTCCTAAAATATGGTGGGGTTGCCTGGGGAAGGGAGATGTGCAGAGGAAAGGAACCACGAAG